ATGCATTTATCTTCATAAGATTCCTGGATAAGTAGTTTTTTTAAAACAAAAACAAAACCTCTATTTTTCTTGAGAGAGAAGTGATGGCCTGAAGCTGTCAAAATAACAACAAAACTAATTTTAAAAACCCTAAACAAAAACAAAAGCCAAACACCTTTTTTTTTACATCCTTGCCATTGGCTTTGTATCTTTCCCACTGAGGATTTATTCCAGCCTGGATGCAATTCAACAAGAATATTGACTTGGCAACATGAGCTGCTCTTTTTGGCCTCAACTGGCTTTTGAAAGGAACGTGGGTGGCAGGGGTGAGGGTGGGGGTAGGATGGGGGAACAGGCAAGAGTGCTGAATGACCCTGGCTTCCATCCGTACAAGCCGTTTCCTACTACATGTGAGGCAGTGACTTCTGCTAGATGAACACGTGAGGCAGAGGTTGTTGTGATTATTGGACAGAGAGAATGCTGGGAGTGAAGTGTGGCTTTTTTTGGGGGGGGGCTGGGGATGCTTCCTGACAGGACCAGCCTATGAGGCAATATAAAGTGTGCCACAGGCATGGTCATGGGGGGAGGGGGAAAGGGGCCAAACACAGGTCAGAGCATTTTCTGTATTCAAACCAAGATAATCCCAGGCAAAAAGGGGCAAGTTTTGTTCTACCAGACCAGGTTTCCTCCTTCCTCTTGCCCACTTATTGACTTGGTGTCTGTTAAGGCTGAGATTAGGGTAGGAAGAAAACACATGCTTATGTGTGTGACTGCTGTGTCCGAAGGACTAAGGCTGCCCTCTCAGCCTTCCACTGTAGAGTTTGAGTCCCTGGAGCTAACTTCTTTTACCCCCAAATGACTTTTGACAACTGCACAATGAAAGATGGAATGACACATTGTCTGCATTCCTGTGGTTAGGCCAGTCTGTTTCCTGCTTCCAAACACAAAACTCTCCAGTGCTTTGTTTGTAACAATTTCTGAGTGCTTTTGGAAGTGTGTTTCGGGTCATTGTCCTGTTGGAAGACCCATGACCTCTGGAAATGCAGCTGATCATGGCCACTACGTTGCACCCCAAAATTCTTTGGTAATCATCAGATTTCATGATACTGTTCACACAGTCAAACGCATCCAGTGCCAGAAGCAGCAAAGCAACCCCAAAACATCTTTGAACCTCCACCATGTTTGACTGTAGGGACTGTGTTATTTTCTTTGAATGCCTCATTTCTTTTTTTTGTAAACAGTGCCATGATGTCCTTCACCAAAAAGCTCTACTTTTGTCTCATTTGTTCACAGTACATTTTCCCAGGAGATGTCTCATCTGTCCACAGTACATTTTCCCAAGAGTGTGGTTTTGTCACATACGTTTTGGCATACTCTAGACTTGCTTTTTTATAGTGGTTTTGTCACATACATTTTGGCATACTTGCTTTTTTATACTTTTGTGTCAGCTGTGGTGTCCTCCTGGGTCTCCTACCATAGCGTCCCTTTTCATTCAGATGGCGACGGATAGTGTGAACTGACTCTGTTGTCTGCAGATCAGCTTGAATTTGTTTGGAAGTTAATCTGGGTTCTGTATCCACCATTTGAACAACCCTTTGTTGTAATTTTTCAGTCATTTTTGTCTTCCGTCCACGTCCAGGGTGGTTAGCTACAGTGCTATGGGCTGTAAACCTCTTGATGATATTACATACAGTGGACACAGGAACATTAAGTTATCTGGAGATGGACTTGAGATTGTCGATGTTTTTCCACAATTTATTATCTCAAATCCAGAGACAACTCTTTACACTTCATTCTTTTCTCCATGTTCAGTGTCACACACAAGACAAAGGTTGAGTCTTCTCTCCATCTTAACTAGTTGCAAGTGTGATTACTATATCACCCACACCTCTTACTTGCAACAGGTGTGTCTAACTACAAATTAAAGGAGTGTCACATGCTTGAAAAGCAATTATTTCTTACAATTTAGACAGGGTGCCAATAATTTTTGCCAGTGCATTTTTGGGTTTCTGTGTGGGATTGTATCTTTTTCTTCTGTTTTTATGTCTTGTTCCAAATATCAGATTTGATTTTTCTTCTCTATTTTTATGTCTTGTTCCAACACAAACCAAAGAAATGAACATGTGAGTACAAAAACATTTGCAACTTCAACAATTTTCTGAGAAGGGTTGCATTTTCTGACAGAATTGCAAGGGTGCCAATATTTTTGGCCACGACTGTACCAAGTTTGAGAAAACCATGCAGATGACAATCTGCAAGTAATAAGAAAATCCTGGATTAACCTACTCTTAAGGAACTACTTTCCCTGCATCAATACACTTAGAAAGCTCTAGTCTTAAGCATGTTTATTTTGAAGCACAAATACTTGCTGCCCAAGTACACACAAACTTAATAGCCTCATACAATCTGTGACTTTGTACCAGAAGGGGCAAGCGACTGAATTGGTATGATGATGACCATTTCTATAAGCTTAAAGGGAAATCTTGAAATAGGTTTATTCAAAAAGCCCAGTTTACAGTGAAACCAGTTGCTGAACAGGTACTTTCAGTCAAGTTAAACCATTGTTTCTGAAATGGTGTTGGAAGAACTCAAAACCTGGCACTCCACTCCCCACCCTGATCAAAATGAAATATGAAACTTGAAAAACTGATACTGTAGTCACTATCAGTTTTGATGGCTTCCCTAACTCCTTACTTGTACTTTCTAGCTTCCAGAGTGGGCGTAGATTGCTTTCTCCAATACAAAAGATTACTAGTGATTGTTATCCTCTTGAGATTAGCTTTGTGGCGACAAACTTGTGCTAATAAGAAGAAAGTTGGAAAAACTATATCCTAAGAGAAAGGTAGCTTTGTGGCGACAAACTTGTGCTAATAGGATATCGTTTTTCCAACTTTCTTAAGAGAAAGATCAATCTATCTGGTGGACATCTCTTTAAAAAACAGATAAGCATGGCTGAGATGTTAGTAACCCTAAAAGGCTAGAGAATGGTAACAGATGTGATCAACTGACTATTTAGGAATTATCATTCAAGAATTCTTGCTGGTGATTTTGTTACCAGGACAAATTGAAGAACAAATTTCTACCTAAGACATTCTGCCACCGGAAGTAAATGCCTAAAAGGCCCACCTTCAATCCTGCTGTAACAGAAAGATTGGGCAAATCCAGTTGCATAACTTTCTACTATAGTGACCAAAATCAGATGCCGGAAACATATAATTTAAGCTCATAGAGTTTCCTGCTGACCCACCCATCCGTTTTAGATTCCATGGCTCCCTAGGCTTCTTTTTTTGCCCAAGGAAGGCTTTGGGAGCCTCGGGATGGGGAAGACATCTGAAGTTTTTTAAAAAAGAAACCCTTATCCTCAAATATCCCCTCCACCTTCCCCACAGTGCCACCTGAAGCAGGATTTTTCCTTAACCTACATGGCAAAAACAGGCAGCACAATTTTCCAGCTCCTCATGCAAGCACTGTGGACAACCCCTGCCATTTATTTAGTCACAGAATGTGGCAGCACATCCCAGATGATGATGAAAACATCCCAGAACTCTTTTAGGAATGAACCTTCAAACATCACAGTCAGAGCTTCTTATAGAGTATACAGGATGTGCTGTTTTTTATTTGGCCCATCTCAACTGAGGGCCAGCATGCAAATGTCTGAATACCAGGAATATGCATAGCAGAAATATTGGTGTTTGCTTCATTTCAGTCTTTTTTGGTAGTGTGTATATGTATCTTTTTCATTTTTATGTCTTGTGCTTACCAGTCTTTTCGACTCACATGAAGGGACTAACTTTTCTAGATTCTTTCATTTTGTATTTCTGTTCTCTCTGGCATTCGTCCAAAAAAGCCCTTCAGAACCTGAAAAAAACCTACTGCTCATTTTTAAAATATGATTTTAAGAGTGCTGGAACAGAAAAGCACTTCAGACTCTTACATGGGTAGTCAGCATGATAAAAGAGGGAAGGAATTGAAAGCATAAGACAGAAACTGTTCCACTCCTAAATCCTTCTCTTTGCTCCCCAAAGTTTTCACCCTGCACACCCCTAGCATGCTGCACAAATTGCCATACTGTGAACAACTGGAAGCAAAGAAAGAGCAGCACTACTCCTTGCTGGGGTCCAAACAAGCCAGTCCTTTTACTTATTAAAAACCCCCGCCCCCTGACATTCTGACTAACTGCTGAGAGCAGGTCTCAACAAGGCTATGGTACTGCCTTAAGAATTTCCCAGGCAATTTTACAGGGAAGAGGTGAAGTTTTAACTAATGAGAGAAACATGGGATTTTTAAAATATATACGCCTCTTTCTTTTAAACAAATCCTTCATGTTTAAAATGTTCTCTTTTGGTAATTGATGAGAGAACCTGAAAGAAAAGGTAACAGCCTCCCCCCCCCCCCAATTTTTAAAACAGAAGTCTCATCTCTACTGAATACATTCTTTTTAGATTATAATTGTCTGTGAAACACCGCATGCGTGACACACAAGAGTCTCCCCTACTGAATTAAAATAACTCCTTGCAAACTAAGACTACACAAGGGGATTTCCTGGACCATTCACCAAAAGAACATGAACTTCTAGAGGATTGTCCGGCTTGCAGGCCAGTAATTTCACAAGCAAGGGCTGTCATTTATCCCATTTGGAAAGGGAGTAACAAGCAGTTAAGAGAAAAGTAGCAGGAATTTCTAAAAGTGACTTTCTACACTGCATGGCAGCAGTGAGGTAGTCCTTCAGGTAATGCTGAACTGCAACTCCCTTTAGCTCTAGCCTCCATAGTCCATTGCAAGGAATGCTGGGAGTTACAATCCAATATCATCTGGAAAGAGAGCTGTACTAGAAATCTGCTTTTCTCTCTGCAGGGCTAAATTCAAACCACACTGGAACTAACAGCACAGCACTGTGTTCTCTAGCCAACAACTCCCTATTCTTAGAATTCAGTCAGGCAAGCAAAGAAAATAAACTACACCAGACTATCACAGATGTGTGGCTCCTCCTTACCCACAGTAAGAGATGAACCACTCCAATGGTTTCACCAGACATTTTATTGGAAACGTTTAAATATCTTGTAGACATGTTGCACAACGTCCCATGTGAGAACATGGGTCAACCAGTGGAACTTTGACAGCCAACCAATTTTGACAGCAGAAGGCTCAAGAATGTTCCTCAGCCAGTTTCTCAGCCTTTGCCACTGCCTCTTCAATAGGTCCAACCATGTAGAAGGCCTGCTCTGGAAGATGGTCGTACTCTCCTGTAAATAAGAATACAAAACGTCAGACAGTGGAATTATTGGCAATTATTCAGAAAAAGCAGCACTTTTGCCAGGGATGAAAGTGTGACTATGTCTGAAAAAAAAAAAAAACACAGAAATTTAAGAACACCCTACTGGGTTAAGAACACCCTACTGGATCTAGGAGTCACTAGCAGTTATCAGAAAATGTTGAACACAGCATCCCAGAGATAAATAGTGGGCTACTGGGAGCTTTCCAAGTAGTCTCTTACCTGACAGGATCGCTTTGAAGCCTTTGATCGTTTCTTTCAGAGGTACAAGCTTCCCTGCATGGCCAGTGAAGACTTCAGCTACTTGGAAGGGCTGGGACAGAAATCTCTGAATCTTACGGGCACGAGCCACTGTCAGTTTATCCTCTTCAGACAGCTCATCCATACCCAAAATAGCAATGATATCTTGGAGAGATTTGTAGTCCTAGAAACAGGAAACAAGCACATGTATGGAGACAACACTGGCACTCCAGAGGAGGGCAAACTATACACCAACTGTCCATAACTCTGCCAATCAAGCAATCAGACTTACTACTAAGGAAACTCAAGACAGAAATACTTTCTTAGTATACATCTGTACTGTTTCACGCATACTCTAAGAAGCAGTTTCTCCATGGACCAAATTAACTTATATGCTGTTCTGTTCCTCACCCAGTCTCTTTCTCACCTCTCTTTCTCACCTGCAAAATCTTTTGCACCCCACGGGCCACATCATAATGCTCCAGTCCCACAATATTAGGATCCATGATACGTGAGGTTGAGTCCAGAGGGTCCACAGCTGGATAAATACCCAGCTCAGCAATAGCACGAGACAGTACAGTAGTGGCATCCAAGTGAGCAAATGTGGTAGCAGGGGCTGGATCAGTCAAATCATCAGCTGGCACATAGATGGCCTGGGAGAAGATACAGAAAGAGAACAAATGACAGACATGTACTAAATAAATAAGCAGTTTAAATGTTGCTCATCAATAGTTCTGAAAAACACTTTTTCAAGAAAGGGAAATAGCTATGTTGGATTGTGGCAAGAAGTACAGAAGGATTAAGCCAGCTATCTTTGTTCCCTCCCTCACACTACAAACCACCCCCCAGTAAAGAGTCATCAACAAAGTACATTTGCAACTTTATGAGCACTTCAACTCTTTGGATTGACATTTTTCTAAAACATGTTTACCTGCACGGAGGTAATAGAGCCCTTTTGAGTTGTTGTGATCCTCTCTTGCATGGTACCCATATCAGTTGCTAGAGTAGGCTGGTACCCCACAGCTGAAGGGATTCTGCCCAGCAAGGCTGACACCTGGAAGAGAAGGAATTATTTCTGTAGCCTTTCTTCCTTCGCACACCTAGCAAATATACAATCCCCTCTGCATACTATTTTGCAAAGCTACAATCTTAGCAATTGTACTGTTGGGATTGATTTACAGCAACCAGAACCAGTTGTTGTTTGACATGCTTCTACTGGACCTTAACATCCATCACCCTACACCTTAATAACTGTTCTGTGCAAACAGCCTTGGGTAAATCAGATTCCGATTAGAAACTGCTGGTTCATATTCTCAGAGCCATGGCAAGAAGTGGCCCACAACATTTAGACTGGTCAGTCGGCTGAAGTCTGTGAGCAGCACCAACCCATCACAGCCAAACATACCTCAGACCCAGCCTGTGTGAAACGGAAAATGTTGTCAATGAAAAGCAATACATCCTGCCCCTCTTGGTCTCTGAAATATTCTGCCACAGTCAATCCAGTTAAAGCAACCCTGGCCCGGGCACCTGGTGGCTCATTCATCTGTCCATAAACAAGTGCAACCTGAGGAATAAAAGGAAATTTGAAGTAGGACAGTATTCATTCCTTGCATATCATTAACTATGTCACTAGATTTCCAGCCTCGTTACAATAAATAAGTACAGAACTAAATACACATAGCAATAATTCTATCTATTCATTACAACCCATAAACACTATAGCTTCTTTATAAAGAACAACCCATCAGACCTGTCACTGAACTAATCCACCATCTTCCCCAAATATTAATATAAATCCATGAATCTCCCACTGTATAGAAGTATTTCTTTCAAAAGGAGACTCTTAATTGGACTGCTAGAAATGCTAACCAAAAAGCCTCTTTAATCTCTTTAGTCTAGTAACTGTGCTACTCACTGTATTTGTCAAGACTGGAAATTTGGAACTCCACGTCCTCAAGTCTGAAACACAGTGAGTGACCAATGTCTGGGGCAATTTATAATGTATCAAGGTGGTATCTAACCAAAACAATGCAGACTTTAGGGGTCTGAAACAATAAACCAAATTGAGATGGTCATGTTTAGAAGATATTTAATAAAATAAACTTACGATAACCACATCCAATATGTCCCGTTGATTTCTATGGGTCTGTTCTAAACATGACTTACACCCAACCCTGTTCTTCTCCTCTGGTTAGCCTGATCCTCCTCCTCACCTTGGATGTGGTATCTTTCAAGTTGATGACTCCGGATTCAATCATTTCATGGTACAAGTCATTTCCTTCACGAGTTCTTTCTCCAACACCAGCAAACACTGAATAGCCACCATGGGCTTTAGCAACATTGTTAATCAGCTCCATGATCAATACCGTCTTCCCTACACCAGCACCACCAAACAGGCCTGGGAAAGAAAATCCTCTTAATGTATTTAGTTGCCATTATATCTTTTAATTCCCTGATATACTCCCCATATCATGCCTGTTTGCCTTCTCAGAAAGAGAATTGCTTCAGTAATCTCAGAAGAACGAAAGTCATGGATATACTCATCATTGAAGGCAAAAAGGCTAACGTGAAGTCAGTGGCGCAGACAGGGCGGACTGTTAATGAAAAAGAAGCCAAGCTGGCTGTAAGGGAGAGCTTCAGGTACCCAAAACATAAATGCCGGTCTCTAAGACAGGACCCTTCTAATATAGATATTCTTGAATAACTTACCAATTTTGCCACCTTTGGCATAGGGTGCAAGAAGATCCACAACCTTAATGCCAGTGACAAGAATTTCCTGTTCAACACTCATTTCAACAAATTCTGGTGCTTCAGCATGAATAGCAGCAAACCTGCAAAACATTGTTATCATATGCTAAGTATCCCATGTCTCATCCTGGACATTTTGCACAGTACAGACAACAGAGTCCGTCCACTGTTTCAGACCCCTAAAGGATGAGTAGCCAGATCTTTTGCATTTTTTATTGCTAGAATTCTAGTTTTTAATTTTAAAGTATTAACACATCATGCATACACAAATAAGTTTTAATGTGCAATACGGTATCCAAAGTGCTAATTAGTTTTACCGCACTTAACATCTGGAACAGGAATAAAGAGATTCTCGATCTATTTACTAAGTTCCTTGAACCAAAATGGAATGTCTAACCACGCATATTAACAGAATATTCTGACATTACAAGAAGTTGGCTTCTGTATAGAGGTACTAAACTTTGACAATACCACCATATATCAGAGTCTCTGAATTACATAGAGTGCATCCATTAACTGCAACTTCTGTACAGAAATCAATTTAACATACTAATATTGATAATTTAAGTTCAGTATTTAGTATTGCATTCCTTTAGAATTTAATAATAAGTGATCTCTTGAACTCAGAAAAAAATTATATTAAGAGATGTAACTGACAACATCCAATTGTTATTCTGTTGATAGAAAGCTTTTTGTTTTAGCAAATTACTGATTATTTTTGTCAGAATAGAAAGGGAGAAGATTGGGCAATCCTCACTCCTTTCAGCCCCCTCCAAATCTATTCCACATAGCTTGAGAACTATTTGATCCAGCACAGGAGATGGTAGAGGAAGAAGGAACAGCTAAAATCAGCTTGTTGTATCAAAGAGCCTTTTAATATGAGCCTCCTGGCGCAGTGGTTAAACTACAGTACTGCAGTCAAAAACTGCTCACAATCTGAGTTCAATCTAGATGGGCTCAGGTAGCTAGCTCAGGGTTGATTCAGCCTTCCAAGGTCATTAAACTGAGTATCCAGCTTGCTGGGTGGGTAGGGGGCAAGGTGCAGCCTGCAGAATTTTAAAAACTGCAATTGCCCAGAGAGTGCTTTAACTGCTATGGAGTGGTATATAAGCAGGACACTTCTATTAGCAGACGGAAACCAACTGGATGCAAACTACTCAGAGCACAGTTGAAAGTCTTCTCTGTCAAATGATTCTTCACATCTGTTACAGAAGAACTCTGGTATATAAATATTGCAGGTCGACATTAGATTAAAAACAAGCAAACAAACAAAAAGGGTTACCTAAAAGCAAAAATTAAACAATGACCATGCTTCTGCTATCAAGATATGAATACTAGCTGCCTTTAGTATCCCATGTTCACACTTACTGTTTCGTTGTTATTGGGCCTCTTTCATCAATTGGCTCTCCAATCACATTCATGATTCTGCCAAGCGTCTCCGGTCCTACAGGAATTCTGATGGGTGCTCCAGAGTCCAACACCTTCTGGCCTCTCACCAAGCCTTCAGTGCCATCCATAGCAATGGTACGAACAGTATTCTCACCTGCAATGAAACAGAAATGTTACAAAAATCCTGCTCCTACTCCCTGGTTTTTCTAATTTGAGGTTAGAAAAGGGGGGTGTCGTCTTATACATTGGGTTGTCTTATAAATGGAAAAATAGGGTACTCTTCTCACTAAACCAGTACAGGCACCTTCCTTTGTTTAAACAAATTATTTCTTCAACAGTGTGCTGATCTGCAATTGTACAGTGTTAAAGCAAGGCTAGGGAAGGCACAGCCTTCCAGATGCTGCTGGAGCACACCTATCATCATCCTCCACTACTAGCAAGGACTGATGAGAGATGCAGCCAAATTTTCCCCACCTGGCATTAAAGCAAACAGGACTTTAAATCAATAGGTGAACAATGAGTTAAAATCTCAGAAGAAATGTACCTTTTATCTTCTAACATGAACAAAGAATAGGGAATAAGAATTATTATCCCACAAGTCTTAATCAGCTGTTCTGTCACTGAAAAAACAGCATGTCAGCAAAAGCACAGGGAAGAACTATTAGCATCCCATGATCTTAGATCTGAAAAATATAAAGGCATCATACACTGTCTCTAGTCAAAGAACTACTAGGTAATGAATGTTAGTGTCCCACATCTGTTGCACTTCCTGAAATTTAAACTGACCTACTGGACAGCCCACATGATCTCACACCCAGCTATCTTTTGGTTATTTGAGAACTTCAGTTTCCTTCTCAGATCATAAATATGGCTTCAGCAAACTCAGAAGAACGAAAGTCATAATGTATTGATCATCAAGGAAGGAAAAAAATCATACATGACTAAAAGAGAGAGGCCAAATATATTACCAATGCTTACCTAAGTGCTGTGCTACCTCCAGGACAAGGCGTGTATCTCTGCCTTGCACCTCAAGGGCATTAAGGATTGGTGGCAGGGCCTCATCAAACTGGACATCCACCACAGCACCAATGACTGCAACAATGCGTCCAGTAGCAGCCCCTGCTTTGGCTGCAGGAGCTGTCTGGGCAGCATAATTCCGGCCTACAGGATGACAAGGGGGGGAAAGAGGTAGTCAATTTAGATCCTACACACAAGGCATCTTCACCAATACCCAACAAGAATCAAGCTTTAAACACTCTCCCTAGATCAGAGGTCCCCAACCACCGGTCTGCGGCTTGATGCTGGTCCGTGGCCTGAGCTGGACCGGGCCACGGAGACAGACCTCCTGCCCCACCCCAGCCAGCTGATTTGCGCACGTGTGTGCGCTCAAGTGCACCCATGTGAGCGCTGCACCACCATTTGTGTATGGGCACAAGCCCACATGCACAAGTGCCATGCTGCCATTCGTGCATGCACACAAGCATAGGGGTGCCCCGCCTTCCCCAGCTGTGCGTGGGGTGAAAAAGGTCCGGGACCCCTGCCCTAGATCACTGGTTCTTAACCTTGGGTTACTCAGGAGTTTTGGACTGCAACTCCCAGAAGCCTTCACCACCAACTGTGCTGGCTGGGGTTTCTGGGAGTTGCAGTTCAAAAACATCCGAGTAACAAAGGTTAAGAACCACTGCCCTAGATGACGTGAAAGTAGTTTTAACTGCCAGATTGCTCAGTGATTTTGGTATCTGGCTCCAGAGCCAGAGATTAGGAGTTCAATTCCCCACTGCTGCTTCCTTTACAAGGGTTGGACTCAATGATCCATAGGGTTCCTTCCAGCTCTACAACTCTAAAATTATTTATTTAGATTGGAACCTTCATTCCCAGCACCTTGAGACCCAAAAGACACTGCAAACAAAATGGTTTAGCGGTGCCATTGTACAGGGTTCATGTTGTAGCATCAAGGCCATATCACTGCAAAGCACAGAACATGTATCATCCGCTTCACAATATGAACTTAATGGGTCTTATGTATGTTGGAAGTGAGCCTTTCCATGTTCAGTACACAAAGTTTCCAGACCTCCAATGCTTAAGTTTTCTGTATCAGTTCTTACATTACACACACTTGTATGCTTTACACAGTGTTCTGGAGAATATTCATGGTACATCAAGGTCACTTAGCCTGGCACTGAATGCCTCCATTTCAGCGGACCATTCAGAGAAAAAGTGATGCTGGATAGGCAATATTTTAAAGAATGCTATGCCACAATGAACTACCAATAGCGACAGTGAATTGCCAATAAGGGGCCCAGCTACTCCTACCGCAATATAAAGAGATAAGGTAGTCCTACCCCAGTTTCCACCATCCTTGCTAAATTTACAGTAAATCCAGTCTCCCATTAATCCCAGCCACGCCGGCGGTTAGGAATTTGCTGGGAGTTAAGAGTCTGGTTAGGAAAAAGCTGCCTTATCTCAGATACTGCCTCGTGCTCGGTTCACTATGTGCTCTCGAGAGCGGCTCCAGCCACGGGACGTCCACCGCGAATTATCAAGAGGCAAGTGAATAATAACCGCGACTGGGGTGTTAGGCCAGGCACCCGGGGGGGGGGCCTTCCTTGTCCGCCTTTGCTTCTCTAACGCCCCGCAGAGCCACCAGGAAGGCACCAGCGCGCCGTCCCCGTGATCCTTCCGGCGCCCCTCAAGGGCAAAGGCCCTCTCCGCGTCGACCCTCGCCCGCTCCGGACACAGCCTGCCCGCCAAGGCCCGGCCCGGCCTCTTCTGGCGAGGCCCGTCATTCATCCCGCCGCCAAGAAGGGAGCGAGGCTCTCGTCTCCTGCCTCTGCAGGGGCCCAACGTCGCCTCGCTCGGGGCGCTGCCGCTCTTCCACGCTGCGGGAGGGCTCCCGGGCGGCCTTCTCCTTCCTTCCTTCCCTCCCTCCCTGCCCCTGGTGGAAGGAGGCTAACTGGTAGCGAGCCTGCAGGAACGCCGAGGCCCACACGCCGGCCTTTCTTGAGCCTCCTCCGCCCGGAGGCCTGACCTTCAGACGCCCCAGAGAAAGGTGCCGGAGCCTGACGGACCGACTCAAGGGGCGGCGATCTCCTCGGAAGAGGCGCCACGCGAAGGGGCGGAGGTTGGCTCTGCTCGCTCCCGCCACTAGGCCCCAAGGTGACCCCCCTCCGCCCTCGGGATCCCCTCCCTTCTCCGCCCGCTCACTTACGGGCCCCGGTGGCAGCTGCAGCAACGGCAGCACCCCGAAGCTGCAGCAGGTCCTGGAGCGGACTGGGTGGGCTCCGCACCCCGCGCAGCAGGGAGGCGGCCGAAGAGGCGCAGCGCCGACCCGCAAACCCCAACATGGCTGCCACCGGCCGAGTGAAAGAGCCCAGCCGCTCTGCGAGCCGCGATCGACTCTGACCGGAAGGGGCGAGGCTAAATAGCACCAGGCTCTGCTATTGGCCGGGAGCTTTTCGCTTTCTCACGCCCACTGGGCTGTCGCCGTCGTCACTCATCTGCTAGACTCTCCTACCTAGAGGACCTGTTGGTTGGGCAAAAAGACTCAACGTCGCTGGGGCGGGGCTACGAGACGCAGGGCTGTTGCCGTATTAAAGCAGTCGTCTAAGCCAAGGTTGAAAACCAGGCATCTGCTTTTTATTTCTGAAGTCTTAAGGTAGTGGCCATGCTGCGTGTCTTTCAAGGAAAGCCCGCTTGCTAATTGGCCAGCATGGACGCCCCGCTTCGGATGGTAATGATTGGTCATAAACAAGGAAAAGAGGCGGGCATAATGTTTAAGGATGCTGTGCGTATCAGAGAAGGAATGAGCACGTGTCATTAGTTTGTCCTTGTAGCAAACGGGTGCTCTTACTGTAGAAGACAGGAGGGCCTGGCGTGCTCTGGTCCATGGGGTCACGAAGAGTCGGACGCGACTAAACGACGACGCCCACTGTATCTTTGGCTGTCATAGATTGCTGCCTTCAGCAAGGACAGGCAGGAGTTTGCGCTGAGAATGCCAATCCCAGATTTCACACGGATAAAAAGCTTGGATTGAATGCATGCTTATTTGCAAGAAAGGTTTTGATCCTATACGTAGAGTTAGCATATATATTTTTGTTAAGAAGTTCGTGTATTAGCATTTTTAGAGTACAACTTCCAGAATTCCCCACAGACCAGGGTCAGTGAGGGCTCAGCCAAGGAACAGCAGCAATGTACAGTATGTCTGCAATAATGCAGGGGAGAAAGTAATCTGCTTAGGGTCAAGGTGTTGCCTGGTGGTGGTGTTTTTAGTTTTGTTTTGTGTTGCACATTTCTATATATACCAGGAAACCCTATATGTATTAAAAACTGTTTCTTACCTAAATTAGATCAAAGCTCATTTCACTTTTAGGTTTGAATGCATACTGTTTATTACACAGCTTTTTAGAACAGGGATATTTAAAACAGCAAGGTAGGCTAATTAATAAGTGGTGTTTACAAAAGGGCAGTTTAAATCTTGTCAACAAATTTATTTATCTAAGTGCATTTCTTAGCTCATTCTCACAACTACTCCCAAGGTGCTTTTGTTTTTAAAAACAAGGGCTTGATTTGTTTGACTACCGGTGTAGTCAAGGGGTAACACGACATTACGCTTAATCTTAACCAATAGAGCCATGTAGCCCTAGGCAACAAAAATTGCTCTCCTGTGGTGCTAAAATTTGCATAGCAAAATTCCACAGACTTTTCTTTGTATTGATATTAGGTCAGCATCATTGTAAAAGTTTATAAGTCTATATGACATTATGAAATATATGCTGGGCCTTTCTCTCTGGCAATGGATAGTACAAGTTGATTGCACAATTGGTCATGTGACTGAACAATGCGCTGGTGGAAGTCCTTTGAAAATAGCCCTTCCACTTTGGCAAAATTGTGGCTCACATGGGCATAATACTGAGGTATGACCATGTGCCGTATTTTTCTGTGTATACGACCCCCCCTAATGTATAATACAACCCCTTAATTTTGACCTTCTGTGTATACGACCCCCCCAATGTATAATACAACCCCTTAATTTTGACTCTCGATGGATGTGGAGGAGCAGTTAATGGACTACTGCTCCTCCATCTCCGCCTCCTGCTGCTGCCTCTCCTGCCTGATCACCTCCTTCAGTGCGACTGCTGGGGCTCACCTCCAGCTCATGTCATCGCTGCCGTGTCCTCTGCCTGAAGGGAGCGCTGGAGGAGGCGATGCAGGAGCAGCAGCAACAGGTGCCAGAGCACACGCGAGTGCTCCTTTGCCTTCGCCTCCTGCTGCTGCCGAGAGGACAAGGCTGGGGTAAGCTGGGGCACTGGGGAGGACAAGGCTGGGGTAAGCTGGGGCACTGGAGAAGGCAATTGGATGGCGGCAGCAGCAGTAAGAGGTGCCTGAGCATGTGCGAGTGCTCCTTTGCCTCCACCTTCTGCCACCGCCAGAGGGGACAAGGTGGAGGGAACAAGGTGAGGACGTGAGCTGGAGCTGAGTGGTGTTGGAGGGTGGCAGAGGCAGCAACAAGAAGCACCTGAGCGCACGAGAGTGATCCTTTGCCTTTGCCTCCTTCCGTGCACCAGAGGCAGCAACAAGAAGCACCTGAGCGCGCGAGAGTGATCCTTTGCCTCCTTCCGTGCATAAAACAACCCTCAATTTTTTATCTAATTACTTTAGGAAAAATGTTGTTTTATACACAGAAAAATACAGTACTTATTCAACAGGATAACGTGAAGAAAGTGCATACAGAGAACATATTTTCCTCTCACAATTAGAGATGTGGATATTCATATTCATTTACGAATACCCTGGTCCCAGCTGCAATTAATGCATGTCTGGCCCCTGGAACTGGCCCGTCCACTCACACACCACTGTGCCACCAGCATCCCACTCTACCCACCAATCACGGAAATGGCTCCTCTGTCTCCCTGCTCAGCGGGCCGCTTGACTCATCATCCTGCCCCTTGCCTGGAATGGCCAGCTGAGCAGGGAGACGGAGGAGCTACTTCCATGATTGGTGGGAAGAGTGAGACGCTGGTGGCCTGGTGACATGTGAGTGGATGGGCCATTTCTGGGAGCTGGACCCACATTAGTAGCTGGGACCGGGGAATATTCCCATCTGTTTCCTACTCATAATCCTAGAACCCAAGGATAACCAACTGAAGCCAAATGATGAAAACAGAACAAGAAAAGTATTAATTCATACAACACATAGTTCACCTGTGAAATCAGCTGCTACAAGGTATAGCAATAGCTTCCACCTTGGGCAGCTTTAAAAGGGCACTGAACACATTCATGAAGGATAGGCCATCAGTGGCTTCTAGTCATAATGGATAGATATTCCATATAGTATCAGAGGGAAAATTCCTCTCTCTACAGTTGCTAAGGAGCATGACCAGGTGCTCTGGCCTTCATGTTACACCTGTGGGCTTCCCAAAAGTATTTAGTTGGCTGCTGTGTGAACAGAATGTTGGACGAGGTGACCCATGGGCCTGATCCAGTCTGGCTCTTGTGTTCTAAATTTGCAAAGACCTGAAACCAGGTTAACCAGACAATGTATGCGAAACTAATTTAAGCACAAATAAAACACTAATAGAACTGAACTACTTGGACATATTTGAAGCTTTCACCATGACCTACTTTTATAATATTGCAATAGAAGACAGATTTCTTTTGAGTTTACATTTTTAATTTGCAGACTATTATTTTTATATACATACCATTGCATTTGAAAACTTAAATGAGAGAAGGTAAATCTTTTATCTTTTCTAGAAATGCAAGCTCCTGACTTTGACACTCTACCGAGGTAAGAATCATGGGTTTGAAGAGGGGCGGAATGGCCACACCAAACTAAAGACCCACTGAGTCAATTGGACTAAAGTAATTTATTTATTTATTTGATTTATACCCCGCTCATCTGGTCAAATCGACCACTCTGAGTAAGTACTGACTTAACTATTTACCAGTTAATTCAATGGGCCTATTCTAGTTGGAAATTACAATTAATTTCAAGCCAATGTTTTAAAGAAAAACTTGGGCTGTAAAGCCCTGGAAATTATGCTCAGAAGGACAGAGGTCTTTTAATTTGATTCAATTGTCTTAAAGCCAGAAGTGTATCTGAGAAGGACCACCGTGATTTCCTGTTTTCAGGAAAAAAGGCACGTATTTTGCCAAGAAATCTCACCTTGGCAGCTTTCCATTTCTAAAAGAGCCCAAAATTAAGAAATAAAGGCATCTGTTTTAAATAAGTTTTGAAGCTCATGAAGAGCATCACCCTTGGAAATATGGAAATGCTCATGAAACATGTACCGCATTTTCTCTTACAAGGAGAAAATTGTAAGTTCTCTGTATATATTACAGTTCATTTAATGGAACTAAATTAATGAAAAAAAAGTTAAAGAGGGGAAGTTGGGATCTAGTAAGCTAGTGTACAGGGCTAGTGCCACCCATTTCCTGAAGTGGTTTAGGAATAAAAGAACATGGCATCCAGATGTTAAGATTCCTGGATAGTCAACTTTGGGACTTAGTGAGAGCGGAATGTCAGTTGCGCATGTCATCTCCCTGCTAGATCAGAGTGCCCGGAGTCTCATGGACATCAGAGTGCCAAAGTGTCCTTGATGAGGCGTCGCATGGTGGTAGTGACAGACGTCCCAAGTGAGTCAGTGATCTGGTAAGAAATCTTGTAGAGGTAGGGCTGGACATCTCGCAGCCCTGTATCAAAGACATTGTCCACTTCAGACTGAGTAGGCATCTTCGGCAGGTATTCATGTCGGTTCATCACTTCCACAATATTAATAATTTTTTCACAGAGCTTCTCACCCACCTTCTCCCGACAGATCTGCCGCTCCTGTTCGTTGGCAAGGTTCACCACATTCACTTTGACAGTCCACACTTCCCAAGGGATGCATTCATCTGAGAAGGGCCACCGGGATTTCTTCTTCTGGTAGAACTCCAGAGAGATTTGGCCCATCCCATCATTGCCTGAGCTCCGCAGGGCATCCTGACAAAAGAGAAAAACAGTAACAGCTCAATCTTCAAGTTCTCTTAAGTCTACACATAAATTGCTGCTCCTTGCACCAAGAATTGGCTGGACAACAGTTATCAGTAACAGCTCAATCTTCAAGTTCTCTTATTTGCTGCTCCTTGCACCAAGAATTTGCTGGACAACAGTTAGGGTGGCTAGATAGTTCTATGGCCAGAATCATATATAAAATGACATACCATTCTAATCCATCTGAAAATAAACCTCACTGAAAGCAATGGACCTTATTTCTGAGTAGACATATCTTTCACATCACTGAAATAGGTTTTCAAAGAGAAGGCATGGTTTGTGCAGACATGGTCTGCATCTTCCAAAGACCTTTGCAATGTACAAGCACTTTTTCTAGATATAGCCCATCCCTCATATTAATGGACACTTCAAAATATTAGTGATTTATTATAATAAATCTATTATATCCCAACAAACTGAAGGATACTCAGTTAATCAAATTAAACTGTATAATAAACAAATAAAGCATAAATATTTAAGTAGCAAACCATTAGTAATTTGTACCATCATAAAGGAGGAAACAGTTAATTAAAAACACACCAACTAACATTGTACCCAGAACTTGCTGATATGGTCAGATTTAACCTCCTTGGTTTGGATGTTCCGCAATTAAGAATGTCATCTTTTTCACACCTACACCATGCACTTCAAACAATAAAGAGAAGACGAATTGATTTCTTGGATAGGCTTATATGTATGTCAAGGTCAGAGTCCTTGTGAGAGGGTTATTACAGATTCATTTTATTTATTTATTTATTTATTTGATTTATACCCCCCCATCTGGTCTACTCAATCACTCTCGGCGGCTTCCAGTATAGGATAAAACAATAAAACACAAGAACATTACATAATCATTTGATACAGTTACAATAAAATAGAGTGAGAATAAAATAAGGAATAGAAAAGAAATCAGGTATTGAGTGGAGGGAAGGTCTGGATGTACAACCATGTTTTTAATTTACCCTAGTCCTAGACGGTTTAAGGCTTTTCAAGGTTGCACCTTGAACCACCTGGTAACAGTCTCCTGACTTCAGAGAAAACTTTTGTAGCTAAATTGTGGATCATTAGAACTTTCTGAGCCACCTTTGTAGAGAAATCCACAAAGTGATAAACTGGTCAGAAAATAATAATAGAAAAAACAAACTTTACCTTGAATTCCCCAACAGCTTTTCTCAATGCCCTGTCAAGTTCCTCAGAAGAGACTCTGACATAGGTGAAATCAATGAAGTCACAATCAACATCTTGTGTGCCAACTGTTCCAATGGAATAGGTCCCTTCCTTCTTGTAATGGAATTTCCCTGTGCTGCGATGCAGCAGTATGGTGTGCAGAACAGCCAGCATGGCTTCTTCAATTTGACGACCCTCAACTGAGATCTCTAACACCTCTGAACGGCAGTTCATCTTTGCTTTTGGGAAGGCTAATGAATAAGGTGTCCTCTAACAAAAAAAAAAGAGTGTGTGTCAATAGAACATAATGATGATTTCCGTGGAGAGCAGGAATATCCAATACCAAAGTCTTACTCTATTGCATAAAATTACACCAGTGGACTGACTAGAACAGACCTGGGCAAAGTGCGGCCCACGGGCCACATACAGCCCACAAGCCACTCCTGTCCGGCCCACCCTTCGCCTCTGAGCTGGAGCTCTGGCTCCAGTCACCCAGCACAGCAGTAAGCAAAACTTGCGAGATCTGATGCTGGGATCTCGCAAGTTTTGACTGTTACTCTTGAGCCACAGACTGTGGAGCCTGTGGCTCAAGAGGCTGGAAACGATCCTTGCGCAGGTGACGTGATGACGCATCACGTTGCCTGCGGGGGATAGACGACAGTAGGAGAGGAAGGCTACGGGGGAACGGAGGACAAGCAATTTAGCTCAGTGTTGGGGTTTTTTCTCTCTCCCCTCCCTCTGCGGTGAATGAATTACAACACTCACAAAATTAACTCCCTAAAACATCACTATTTCATTTTATTTTTAAGTAAAGTTGGTTCAGCCCCCAAACACTGTTCAGATTTTTCATGTGGCCCCCTATAGAAATTAATTGCCACCCCTGGACTAGAGTGATGAGAACTCAAGAGAACAGGGTTCAAATTCCATCTTGACCATTCAACTCCCTAGGTGACCTTGGCCAATCACATACTCTTCATTTGATCTATCCCACAGGGTTACAGGCAGGAGAAAAGCCATGTACACTGCCATGAATTCACTGGAGGAATGATTAGACATGAAAGAAACAAATGATTTTCTGATTTTGCAAGTGAAGTTCAGTAGAGTGATGGTTCAAAAGTGGTCCTTTTGCAAGTGTAGTTTGATTTAAACAAGATGTGTGCTCCCACTGTGCACTTTAATATGTGCCTTTGCTGCACATTCCTGGTGAGGATTAAGGAGTATTCCTCAAGAGTAAGAAAGCAGTAACAATCAGGAACAGCAATTTTCTGTTTAAGAATTAGTAGTATTTCCCTAAAATTGGAGCAATTTCATAGCTTACAAGATAGGTTTTTCTTGTAAGAGTCTGTCTGGCAAAGAAACATAAGAACATATTGCTTTAAAAAAATCAGAGAGATTGAATGAATATTGTGGCAGATTTGCCATTTGGGACATAAGTAAAACATAATATTTTTAGTCTTTTCCAGAGAAATGTGTGTTTAATTATAATGTTCTTAATTTGCATATGAGCCTGGTATGAATTCTAGGGATGTTGGCGGGTGCTATTTGGTTTTATTTTAGATAAAAGTGGGATTGAAAATATCTAGTTAATGAATGTGCATGGGTACCTACTTCTCCAGTACATAAGAATAATCATGATGCAAACCTTTGGTTCCAATGTAAATGTGGATAACTAACACAACACAATAAACTCATTAAAGGTGGAAAGTATGTTTGTAGTAGGTTCTGTTATGAGGAAATAGCATCCTGTAAATATGTACACTATTTACATTTTTAATCTCTTCACATTTTTTGTTACTATATCTTGATATAACCTCTGTTCTAAAGGCCCCTAAAGGAGAAATTGTACATCCTAAACATGTTGGATGTGATAAGTAATTTTGAGAATTGTTCATCAATTGCTATTATTCTTCCTTTTGAATATTAAATTCCTTTTTGTTGTTGTTGGTAACATAGCAATCTGAGGAATAATACCAATGCCTCAGAGCAACAATTTTTGGTGAAATCGGAATTAATGGATATGAGCCAATGTGGTGTAACAGCTAAAATGTTAGTAGATGGCCTTGGAAGACAAGCAGATTGCAGGTTAGTCCTGGCCTGATTGTTACCTCTCAGCCTTGCCATAAGATTGTTGGGAGCAAAATTAAAATGGAGGTGGAAACTATCTGTGCTTGCTTGAAGCTTAAGAGGTAAACATAATAAATAATAAAATGCGAGGTTTTAAAAGTAGCATTTGAATTAGTTGTTGCTCCTTAGCAACTTACACAATTAAACCAAATGACTTGGCGAAGCCCACCCTGAGATTCTAAGACAGTGGCTGCATTTGAACCCAGTACCAGGAAGAGCTGGCTGTTTGTTAGCCAAATCTAGGATAGGAAGCCACGAAGGGGGTGGGTGGGTGCTAATCTTCTCCTGTTCTCTAACGCCACACAGACCAGTCTGCCTGAAGAGGTGACCAAGCAAAGGAACGCCATCAGTAACCATGGCAACCAACAGACTAGTCCGCGCACCATTGGTGGGGGGAGGGGGAGGGAAGGGTCCAAAAAAGGGAAGCCCCCCCCCCCACTTGGGAATACGAAAAGAACTCACCTGTCCCGATGCTGCTTTTCAGGACGCACGACTCAGCCTTCGGATCAGTCCAATTAAGACTGAACGGGAGGGGAAACCATTAAAGAAAACATCTATTCCTTTCGAGCAAGTCAGTCCTCTTCTTTCTGGCGCATCCCTTTCTTAGAACCCTACAGTCCCTTCCGTAAACGCTGCACTTTATATACGTATGGACTGTCTCTGTTTCTAGGCTTTAAAAAAATACATGCTCCCCCCCCATTCCCCTCGTTAACTTTAGTACGTTCCAGCAAAACAAACCGCAGCGCACAGGCGGAAGGAAGCTTCCTGGCACGGCAACATCCGGGCTCTGTGAGGCGATTCAGCTCTTTGCTCCCACCTGCAGGCTGTAAACGGGCTCGGGGGAGTGTCCTCGTCTGGAAACTGCGGTTTTCATATTATGAAACGCCTAACATTATCTAGACACTTGCTCAGTTCCAATATTAATATGCCCTGTAGCATCAAGGACTCTTGCTATTTACACAGTGTGTGCGTTTTGTGCTGTCAAGTCAAAACCAACTCATAGCGACTCTAATGGGGATTTCAAAGTAAGTGAGATACTTAAGGATTCATTTTACCAGTTCTGCTCCCCCAGTGATCTTCCATGGTTGAGGGGGAATCCGAACCCTGATCTCCAGAGTCCTAGTCTGTCATTCTATCCACTACACACCACATTGGGAATTAGATGTACAGTAGGATACTATTATATAAACAAGATGCGATGCCGTGTTTTTCCAAGGAAAAACTCTATCCACTACACACCACACTGGGAATTAGATGTACAGTAGGATACTACTGTATTATATAAACAAGATGCGATGCCGTCTTTTTCCAAGGAAAAGAGAAAGCGGTTCATTTTACGTTCAGTAAACGACAGCATAGCCAGTAAGAGTTCTTTTCCTTTTGGTTAAAGAGAACGGAAGCAAAAGAGATCTGTGGTCTCCAAAACTCTACTACCTTCCCAGAAAGAGGAATCCTAGCCTGGGCTACTTGGGATGCAGAGGTGAGAAAAGCTACACCCGGTACAATCCTCTCTTTTGCAATAACATAGCCCATGGCCTTTGCTCACCAATATGCTGGCCAAATTTAGAAGAAAGTCACGTTGAGATCAAATTTGCTTACTCCTTGATGGAAAGCATCGCTACTTCGTTATAGCATTTGCCCGCCGTCAAATGCTACAGGCTTTACGCCTTCGGCAGAATGCTCAACGTCACCCTGTCACCGCCGCTACGCATGCGTATTACCCGTCCTGGAGCAAGTCGCGTTCTTCATACGTCATTGATATGCGCTAAAAACGTTTTGTCATCTCCGGAAGAGTCGACGAAGAAAGCGGAACATGAAAGACGTGACTCTGGGCGCCAATTCTGAACAGGAATTAGGTAGCAGCCTTTCTGAGACAGGAGAGAGTCGCGCACCTTGATTTTTGTTTTTCCTTTTTGGGGAAGCTAAATTTGTCATCTGGGACAATGTCAAGTCAGTTAACAAGATGGTTCAGGATATTAGGAGGTCTTTGGAACATTTTGCTTCCCTTTTTGTTGTCTGCTTTCTGGCTTTTGCTGACACAGTAGATAAATACTAAACCTAGTTGACTCTCTGTTTTTGCAGGAAACAACTAGATTTTATCTTCTAAAGAGATTTTTGTGATTCGACTTGCTTTCTTCAGTTCGATAATGCTGGATGATAAAATTGTTATGTGCGGTCAAGTCGCCCCCAACTTATGTCAACTTTATAAATGAGCGATCTCCAGCATGTCATGACCTCAGCAGCCTTTTTGAGCTCTTTGAGACTCAAGCCTTTAGGGAGTCAATCCATCTGGTATTTGTTCTTCCTCTTTTCCTGATGCCTTCCACCTTTCCCAGCGTTATTGTCTTCATCACAAAATCCTGCTTTCTAGTGATATGCCTAAAGTAGAACAACAATAGTTTCAATATTTTTGCCTCCAGATATTTGCTCTAATACCCACCTGTTTGTCTTTCTGGCAGTTCAGGGTCTCTGCAAAGCTCTCCTGCACTACATCTCAAACTTTTTTTTCCTGTCAGCTTTCATTACTGTCCAGCTTTCATACCTATACATGATGATCAGGAATACAAGAGTGTGGATGGTTTTGGTCTCTAATGTCACATCCTTACCCTTATATGTTCTTTTTTAATTCCTTTATTGCTGTCCTTCCAAGTCCCAGGCTTCTTCAGATTTCTTGGCTGCAGTATCCCATTCGATTGCTAATTTAACCAAGTTGTGCAAAATCTGTCATTATTTCAACATTGTCAGTGTTGTGTAGTTTTTCTGTAGTCATGATTTTTATCTTAATGTTCAAATGCAGTCTTGCTTTGGTACTTTATTTCACTTTCACAAAAAGTTGGTTTAAGTCATTGCTGCTTTCTGCCAGTAAAAATGGTGTTATCGATATGTTCTGCGTGCAGACTAAACAGATAAGGGGATAAAATGCATCCTTGTCTGACATCATTGCCTATAGGAAACCTTGTGCCTCAGTATTCTGTCTTAACAGTAGCTTCTTGTCCCCAATACAAGTTACGCACCAGGACTTTAAATTCATCAGGAATGTTGTTTAAATTATATTTTGGCTCTATGATTGTTTTTAGAGTTCATTTTCAGTTTTAATGTTGGCTGTTAACAGTTACTGAACTGTAGTCACTCTCTATTTCTACCAGTATCCCTTCAGTACAGCCACTCGCGTCTTTCGGGCTTTCTTCTTCTGGGGACGGCACACTGGGTCCCACTCCTTCACACCGTTCCAGCAAAATTGCTGTAGAACGAAATCGTTGTCAATTGAAAGTAAAAATCCCGTTGAAATGCATTGAAAACCAGTTCAATGTGTTCCAATGGGCGAAATACCTCAGCGTCCAGCAAAGATCCTCCATAGGGCAGCCATTTTCTGGTGCCTGTAAAGCGAGGAATCCGTCCTAAAGCACAGCGGGGAGCCATTTTACACAGCGGGTGGCCATTTTGAAAGCCCAGTGATCAGCTGTTTTGATCATTGTTAAGCGAAAAATCGGTTCCTGAAGCAGGAAACCAATCATTGTGAAGCGATTTTTCCCTATTAAAACATCGTTTTGCGATCGCAAAAGCAATCGCAAAAACTTCATCGTTAAGCGATTTCCTCGTCTTACATGAAAAATTCAGTTTTATCATTCTTGACGTTAAACAGCCTCACTACTAGTGACACTCCAACTGTGGTTAGATCTTGGAGCAGATTAGTTTCAGACAAATAAGAGGTGGATCCACAGCTACAAATACTCAACAATCCCCCACACTACACCAGAACACAGACAGGGTTCTAACTCCTGTCCTCTGAAGATGCTGGCCACAGAGACTGGCAAAATGTTAAGAAGAAAAATCTCTAGAACACAGCCAAAAAGCCCCAAAAGCCCACAACAACCATCGGATGCTGGCCATGAAAGCCTTCGAGAACACAGAAGTGGATTGTCCACCATTTCATAACCCACCAAGTAGAGCTGCAGATGCAGTCGATGTGATATGCACCAGGCAATATTAATAATTGTTCTAAGTGCTCACTCCATTAAAAGATGATAGAACTCTATTCAGCCTAAATCCTGGCTCTTTATTTAATACCTTTGCTATATTCATTCCTTTTGTAGTTCTGAGAAAGTGTAACTAAGTACAGTACAGTATATGAGTTTCATAGTCCTTTTTACTTTCATGGATTGCTGCCTTGTCTTGGTGAAGGGACTTGAGTAATTCGGAGAAGCTATAGGCTATGCTGTGCAGGGAAACCCAAGATGGACAGGTCGTAGTGTTCTGACTAAACGCGATCCACCTGGAGCAGGAACTGGCAAGCCACTACAGTATCTTTGCCAAGAAAACTCCATGGACAGAAACAAAACGAGGCAGGGCAAAGGTTAATAGAGTTTTGTCAAGAGATCAAGCTGGTCATCAGAAACACTCTTTTCCAACAACACAAGAGGCGACTCTACACATGGACATCACCAGACGGGCAATGCCGAAATCAGATTGATTATGTCATCTGCAGCCAAAGGTGGAGATGCTCTATACACTTGGCAAAAACAAGACCTAGAGCTGATTGTGGCTCTAATCATCAGCTTCAAAACTGAGGAAAGCAGGAAAAACCACTGGGCCAGTCAGGTATAATCTAAACCAAATCCCTTATAAATACATAGTGGAAGTGAAGAACAGATTTAAGGAACTAGATTTGGTGGACAGAGTGCCTGAATAACTATGGATGGAGACTCGTAACATTGTACAGGAGGCAGCAACAAAAACCATCTGAA